ATTGTGATCAAGACCGACCCAATCTTTACACCTTGGCTCTTTAGGCTAAAATTCTTTTCATTGCATTTCACATCATAAAAATGTTTTTCAAACATGTTTAAAACATTAAAAACACTTGGTGTTCGCCCAAACCAAAAACCAAGCCATCCGGCGTTCGGGTTTTAGAAACCGGCGTTCGGCATTCGGTTTTCGGCGTTGGTTTTTGGCGTCCGAACTAATCAAGTGGTTTTCAACTTTTTATGATTGGTTTTTATTTCTGGGCACATTTAAATAGTTTTCCATCAAAAAACGCTTCAAAAACCACCTTTCGTTTTTTGTCGTTTGATAAAAACCATGCGAAACGGCATTAACTTGGCTAGCCGTGGTTTTTACTTAATGAAGTGGTTTTCAAGTCTTTTTGTGTAGGAATTGTTTTTGAATGCATTTAAATGTTTCTCCAATCAAAAAATCATGAAAACCACCTTTTGGTTTTGTCTTTTGGTAAAAACCACCCGTGTACGGCATTGACTTGGTCATTCGTGGTTTTTACCTTAACGACGTGGTTTTCAACATACAAAGCTTATTTTGACATCAAAATACATTAAATAAGTGTTTTAAACACTTAGTTTTTACTTTGGAGAACTTTGCATTTTTCGGTCGGGTTTGAGTGCCGGTCGGCTAAGCCATGGTTCTGGACTAGCCATCTACCCAGCGATGGTAGATTTCACCCATGCATGGGAAAGTGATCCCGGGATTCCAGAATCATTTCACCCAGCGATGGGAGATATTACCCATCGATGGGTAAGCAGCCTTCAGCCCAATTGAATTCCAGAACCATGCCAAACAACGATGGGAAGCTCTACCCATCGATGTTCAAGCCTTGGTCCAACATTATTACAAGGCAGAATGCCCTTACCCAGCGATGGGAAGCTTTACCCATCGATGGGAACCCAGCGATGGGAAGGCTTAACCATCGATGGGAAGGCATGACCGTTGTGAGTCATTTAAGGCTGATTCTTTCCTTGTTTGAAAGTCAACCTCCCACCCAGCGATGGGAAGCATTTACCCATCGATGGGTAGGTGACCGTTGGCTTCAAAACTGAAGGAAATTTGGCTTACCAGCGGTGGGTGAGTCTAAACATCGATGGGAAGCCAATATCCTGCAGATCCCAAATTTATTCAATCCCATAAATCAAGCCAATCACCCCTTTAATGTATTGGTCCGTTGGAGCCTTTTTTGGCACTATAAAAAGGGGTGTTTGGGTCTGCTTTACACATCAATTCACTTCACTTTATTCATATTATCATTGCATCCAAACAACAT